GATCGTCGAGAACAGCAGAAAAGTGACCCTGATTGAGGTGAAGGAAAAGTTGCTCAAGGAATATGAGCGGCAGCAGAAGAAAGAGTCAACTGAGCGCGCACTGAAGGCCTCGTTCCGCAGAAGAGGCAACAACGGAAGATTTGGCAGTCGCGGGCGAGGACTCGGTGACCCCCGATGCAACGGTGGGGGAGGACTCGGCAGCTTCAAAGGCACGTGCTTCAACTGTGGCTGAGTGGGTCACATGAAGCGGGACTGTCCTGATGGGACCCACGGTGACATCAACGAGAACTCGGTGTTCGCTGTGGGGAAGAATCGGTCGGCAGGGTCGCTGATCGAGAGTGGAGCGACAGCTCACATGACGCCATACGGGAATGACATCTACGAGTATCAGGACGTGTCGGTGGGCATGTATGTTACCGTCGCTGAGGGTAAGAAGATCAAGGTAACTGGTACAGGCTCGGTGCGACTGACAGGACTCGACGGCAAGCGCATCAAGATGGTGGATGTACTCCACATACCTGGCCTTGACCGGCGACTACTCTTGGTCGAAAGCTGGCGGAACGATGCATGAACGTTGAGTTTCAGCGGGGGTCATGCATCATATGGAACAAGACGAGAGCGATCGCCTCCGGGAGGAAGAGTGGTAAAGCGTACGTGTTGGACTGCGAGCAAGACGCAGCATACTACACCGAGTACTCGAATGTCGGTGGTGAGTGGGAGCTTTGGCACGCACGGATGGGACACCTTAACGAGGACTCGCTCACGAAGACCCAGCAAGCTACCACTGTAGTGCCAACGAGTACTCGGCACGGGGCCAAGATGCTGGGTGGTGGATGCATGAAGGGCAAACAGACGGTGGCGAGGTTTCCATCCCAGTCGCTAATGAGGACTCGGTGCTCACTGGAACCGGTCCATACTGATGTAATAAGAACTATGAAGACGAAGTCCAAAGGTGGCGCGAGGTATGTGCTAACGTTTGTGGACGACTACTCGCGGCACGTCGTGGCGTACTTTATGAGCAAGAACAGCGAGGTCTCGTCCAAGTTCGAGTCGTTCTTGAAGATGTACAAGAAGCAATGGGGAGGGCGCATGAAGTGCCTGCGCTCGGGCAATGGCACAGAGTTTGTAAACAAGGCCATGGACAAGATCTGCCAGCAGAACGGCATCTTGCACCAGAAGACTGTCTCATACAGTCCCGAACAGAATGGTGTAGCGGAAAGAATGAACCGCACGATCATTTGAGAAGTCTCGGAGCATGATGCACTACAAGGGTGTATCGACGGAGTGGTGGGCAGAGGCAGTGAGTACTGCAGTGTACTTGACGAACCGATCTACGAACAGCCTGCACCCAACGAGAACTTTGTACGAACTGGTGTACCAGTCGCGACCTCGTCTGGATCACTTACGAGTGTTCGGGTCGATGGGATATGCCCATGTCGACAAGACGAAGCGCACCAAATTGGAACCGAAAAGCTTCAAATGTCTTTTCCTTGGGTACGCCGATGACTCGAAGGGCTACCGAGTGTTTGACTTGGAGTCGAACAAAGTGAAGATGTCCAGATCGGTGAGGCTAGAAGAACGCGAGGTGGACGGAATATACGACACAACGCCCAACGAGGACTCGGTGACGATACTAGTGTCGAAGGACGACGACGTTGCAGCTATACCAGATGCCAACGAGCACTCAACCGAGGATGTACCAATGGAAATACCAGAGCGAGATGTCGAGGAAGCGGATATGCCAGAGGCGGATATGCCAGGAGACGAGTTGACCACCTACCGAGGGCTCGGTAGACCCATGAGCGAGAGCATGGTCTTCCGCCCGGAGCCAAGACGTGCCCAGCGTGCACGAGAGCCTGTTCT